CTTTCTGTTTCTGACCTGTCTCATTTGGATTTCTGAGCCTGACAAGGATAGTGTACTAATCACAACTCTTTAAGAATTCAGATCTCAGTTATACACCCAAGTCCTAAAGGACTGTTTATCTTGGAACACTGAGGTCTCCTAACTCCATCATGCCTATCAGATAGATCATTCAGCTAGACATGATGATACACACCTGAAATCTCAGTACTCAGAAGGGCTGAGGCAAGAAGACCAACAGCCAGTCTGGACTACCAAAAACAAAAAACAACCAAAAAACCAAACCACCAAACAACAACAAACAAACAAATCAAAAGTCAAACAAGTTAACTTAGGTGGGCTGGCAAGGTGGCTGACCCAATAGAAGTGCTTGCTGCCAAGACTGATGACCTGAGTCTCAGGAACCACAAAGGGGAGAATCTTACCTTCTGACCTTTATGTACACTCTGAGGTGTACAGGAACACAAATAAAATGTTAATTTTTTAAAATGTAGAAGATTTAAAGAGTAAGTTTAATAATTAATGTTATTGCAGTGATTAAGCAGAAACCACCCACTGATAAATACAAACTGATGTTCCAAGCTGTTGAGAGTTATAGTCAGAAGAAAGCACAGCACTCCACTCACCAGCTTCTCGTAGTCTGTTCTGTTCTGCTTTAGTACGGTTGACATTTTCAGTTCCAGCAAGATCTACCAGAGACAGCTGGCTTACAGTAATTTGCTCTTTTTCCTAAAAGGGAGAAAATCAACAATCTAAGCTAAATTATACCCTTAATCCCAACACTTAGGAGGCAGAGATAGGCAGATGTCTTGTGAATTCCAGGCCAGCTGAGTCTACAAAGTGAGTTCCAGGAAAGCTAGGGCTACACAGAGACTCACTGTCTCAAAAAGTAAAACCTTGTCTCAAAAAGTAAAAACAAAAAACCCAAAACAACAACAAAAAGATCCAGTTACCATGGTCTTAAGTCTTAATGGACAGTGTATGCGCACAATACAAACGCCCAGAGCAGCCGAGGATGTGTGACACAGGAAGAGTTTGCTAGAAGCTCATGTCCTCAGAACAGATACTAGAGAACTTCTTGAGAAGAAAGACTCTGTGCCTTTCTGCTGTAACAGGTATTATTTATACTCTAGCACTGGGAATTTAAGCTTTGTCTTCAGCAACACACATATAACAAAAACCGGAGCCCCCAACCTGCCCCCCCAAAAAAAAACCCACATGAACTTAACAGTTTCACAGCACTCTAACCTATATTAAAGAAGTGAAAGTCAGGGCAGACAGATGCTCAATGGTTAAGAGCACGGCTGCTCTCGAAGAGGCTCCAGGTACAGATCTCAGTACCCACTTGGCAGCTTAGAGCCATCTGTGACTCTGGGTCCAGGGGATCTGATGCCTTCTTCTGGCCTCCACAGGCACCACACACACACACAAATGGTACACAGACACACCTTCAGGCAAACCATTCATACACATCATATAAAAATAAAGCTTTAAAAAGGAAAAGAAAGTTAAATGCACCGAAAAGGTGTTATGCTGTTAGCAAGAATTCACATTCCTAGCATTAAAAACAGTCATTCATAGGAAACTGGGTGTGGGAAAGACTTGTTGGTGGCCACTTTCTGACTAACATTTGACTGTCTAAGCCAAGCAGCAGACAAGACACTTCACACTGCTTCCCTTAATTCTCATGATCTCATTATGAGAAGGCTCTCTTACAGTCAGGTCAGACAGCTGGGAAATAGGCAGGAATCAGAACTCACACTTTCCCGCCAACCTGGACACGGCCACACTGAACAGTTAAAATCATGCCCAGTGAAGCAAGACTTTAGTCCTAGCAGTGGAGGCTGAGGCAGGGAATCTCTGAGCTCCAAGCTCCATAGTGAGATTCTGTTGTCAAAAACAAAAGCCAGGCATGGTGACACACGCCTTTAATTCTGGCTGTTAGGAAGTTGGGGCCAGCTTTACCTATACAGTGAGAAATAACTAAAAACAGAGACAAAAGAGGCCATGAATTTGAAAAGCAGCAAGAAAAATTATAGGGGAAGGCTTGGGGAGAGGAAAGGGAAGGGAGAAATTATGTAATTACATTATAATCACAGAAGTAAGAGAAAACAAACAAATGTTCAGAATCGTCCTGGCCTCAGTACACGAGACTGTCTCACGAGGCAATCAGCACCTAAACCAATGCACACACATCCTTACGAGCTTTGAAACTTCGCAGACCCTCTCACAACACTGCCAGCCAAGTGCCACACATGCTCCACCCTAGGATCAGCCGCAATAGGCAGAGCCCAGAAACAGTACTACTAACATGAAGAAGTCATCAACTGTATAGCTGCTAACTCTACAGCAACATTCATCACCATGGCAACCCCTAATTTAGGTCATCTTCTACCAATGAAAACATTACCTGTAAGATGTTGTCTCCATTAGCGTCCAGAGGAGCCTGGACAAGTTTTATTGTGAACACAGTATGTGAGCGACTGGACTCTCTATTCATCTTGGTGGTGGCAATATGCCTCTTCTTCTGACCTATGATGACAGAGAAACCACTGATTACACCTGAGGTCAGCCACTTATTATGCCTGCTTTCTAATCAATCCAGAAGGATGCTGTTAATCACACTAACAACTCTGAGGCTTAAAATGCTCAAACTTTTCAATTTCTAGTTGTTTCTAACCTCTCCAAAACACTTTAAAAGCCTCCTCTGCAGATTGTACTTCTATTTCCGAACATCCCGAAATGTAAGTATTGTGGTTCTTATCTTCTCGGAGCATCTTAGATTGTGGGAGTCTGTGGGAAAGAAAGAGGATTTAG